GGAATCATTTTTGTTCAACAACTTTGACTGCATGGATTATAGTAAAATCTTAATTTGATTATATATATTATACTGTAATACGTTAGTATAATATGAACTCGAGATGGGTTCACATTGGCGTATGTAATGAATTCAATCATGGTACTTAATGGAGGCTTATTGGAGTCATTATATCTTGATAATCATATGCGGCCATATGGCCATATGGGGGATGTAGTTTATTATACTTTATTCCCCAAGGATTGGGTAGCTAGATGTATCTCAAAGTGAATAATGAGTGTTAGGGTTAGTATTTTTTCACTTTACCTAAGCGTTTTGTCTCTTTTTATTAAGATGATGTTGAATTTGGTCGTAATTGATATAGGACAATGTGTTTAATTTGATACCGTAATTTGAATAAATTTGGACTATATGTACACTAGTGTATAAAGGGGTGAAAAGCAAGTGCATATATACTCTGTATTTGTTTATATGAATTTAGGTCATATTTTATTTACCTTATTTTTACTAATTTATAAATTAATAAGTTCATTCACATGAAGATAGATAGATTTGTGAAAATAAGTTCACGTTAGTTCATACCTATTTTAAAGGGCTAATCAAGTTTAATTTAATATCTGTCTAATAAATATAGGTAATAAATTTGAGTAAAGCATAATATAAGTGCTTGAATTTTGAAGTTGCAAATAGGTCTCTCAACTTTGAAATGAAGCAATTAGGCCCCTCGAAAATAGATGAAAACCTCTAAAACTATTGCCTCGTTCCAAAGTTGAGGGACCTAATTGCCTCATCATATAATTCCAAAGCTGAGGAGCCAGTTGAAGGATTTCCTTCATGCTTAACTCAAGTAAATTCAGATAATGAAAAAGAAAAAAGAAAAAAAAAAAAAAAGTGTTTTTGCAATAAAAAGCGGATTTTATGTTTCGTTTCTTGTTATTGTTTTATTGAGTTTCTAATGTCAAACATCTTGTGGCTAAACAAGTAAACTTCTCCCCCAAAAATGAAAGAATTGATTGTAGCAATTTTCCCCCTAATTAATTTGAGTCAATAATGGGATTTCATTTTTTTGAATAAAAAATAATACAATTAGTCAGTTTTCAGTAATTGACTTTACTGAACAAAATTTAACAAATCAATTATTTAACCACCAATGCAACTAATACGGAGTAATATTATTTGGTAAAAAAGCCAAAAGAGCATGCTAACAACCTAACAGGGAGTAACAGCCAAAATTTGATGGGGAAGAAAATTACCACTTTGTCTAACTTTTAACCTAGCTTTAATCGCATTAAACTTGGGTTATGTTTTTATTTTCATTGTCCAAGAGTGTTGAATTATCCAAGTTTTCAGAAACAATAACCCGAGATCATCTCTATTGATGAGACTCAACTTTGAGCATTGAAATACAAAATGAATTGTTTTTTACCTCCAATGGTGATACCCAATCCACTTCTCAAATTAGCAACTCAAGTGAAGTCTAATTTCCCAATGGCGAGACTCTCTAAAGTATACTAATGTCACTTTCAATTTATGCGCCACCAAATCCATATTATAAGTTTTTCAAAAAAAATAAAACTTAAATAAATTACAAATATATTATAATATTGATAAAAGACCAACACTTTTGGTCAAATGAGACTCAAAGTTGAGAATCTAAACTTAGCAACTTTCTTTTGGAGTTGCTAAGTTTAGATACCAACTTATTGGTATCTTTTGCAAAAAATACTCTCTCTCTCCTAAAAAAAACTCCTTAAAATCTCACCATTGGAGATGGTCTAAGTAATCAAACATTGAGCTAATTTAGCTAAGCACTAGGCCGGGCCGGCCCGAAGCCCAACACGACCCAGCACGAAAAAAACACGGCACAATACTATGCGTGTGGGCCATGGGCCGCCTTTATTTGGGCAAAGCACGATAAGCCACGGCATGGCCTGTCTCGGCACGACAAAGCATGCTAAAATCAATGCAATTTTGCTTAGGCACGCAAGCCCGACACGGCCCGGCACAATGGCACGTGGGACTGGGACGTGCATGGGCCAACCTTTTGAAAACTTTGGCCCGGCACGGGGCATATTCTTAGATGCACACTTGTGTATCTAAGCTGACTGCACCACTCATCAAATACCCCTTTTTAAACACCAAACACACATATATACTATGCACTACTGGAGTACTGGTATATATGACTTCATCTCCTTCCTTCAATCTTCTTCCTATTTTATTTCTTTCCTTATTTCTTACTTAATTTTTCTCTTTTTTTCCAAATTCTTTACTTAATTCTTAATTTTGGTTGAATTTTTTTTTATCTATCCACTATGTTTGGCATGATCTTCTCCTTTTAAGATTTTCTCTCTCCTCCATTTTTTGTATTTTCGTTGATTCGTGATGGATTTAATTGGAATCTTGAAGAGATTGTTGATATAAGTTAGTTTATGTTATTGATTTGTAATTTAGTTTAATTGGTTATATTTTCTGAATTTGTAATTGATATTGCATATATAATTTTTAGGTAATTTGCCAATTTGTAATAGGTGATGAACACAAATTGATTGTAGTACTTTCCTCTTCACCTTTCTTTCCTATTATAATTTAAATCAAAATTTTCATCAAAATTTCGATCATAATTTTCATCAAAATTTTATTCTCCTCTGTTTTTTCCTCTTTTGTTCCTCATTTTCTCTCTCCTCTGTAATTGTATTTTGTTTAATTTCTATCAATTTGATCTATGTATGAATTTTGATTTTTTGTGGTGATTTTATAATAATTTTGATCAATTTGATTAGGTTTGTGAACATGCAATTCATATGAATTGAATTTACGGCCTATATTATGAACATAAGAAAATTGAAGAAATAAAAAATAAAATGATTATAAAACATACACATTATAAGTATTAAATATGAACATATGCACTAAAAATATGAATATATGCATTTTAGAATATGAACATACGCATTCAAAATATAAACAGATGCATTGGTTCATTTTTTTTAATGCGTATGAATATAATTAAGCATTTTAGAAGGTATAAAAAAATGAACATATGGATTTCAGAAAGTGAACGTATGCATTTCAGAAAGTTTACATAAGCATTTCAGAAAGTATACAAAAGGATTCAAAATATGAAAATAAGCATTTAAGAACGAAAGTAAACATATGCATAAAAAATAGGAAAATTTGCATTAAATAATACCACCTTTCACCCGTCCGCTAAAAACAAGTCGACCTTTTGATTATCTCTAAATAATACCACCTTTAATTGGTGTCCGCTTTAAACAAGTTATTTTACCTACAACCTGAATAACCGATTAATATCTTTTTTTTCTTTTTAATAAATTCTTAACAATGTTGTTTAACAATGTAATTAACTCCTAGTTAAACTTTAACCATGATCTTTAAAAAAAAATAACAATCAAATAATTTTAATAAATAAAAAAAACACCCCTCCACTCACCATCAGCCACCATATATCTTTCCACCACACTCCAACCCACCGGCATCAGCGCCGCCAACACCAGCCCAACTGCCTCTACGTCGCCCCTTCCTCGAAATCCTAGAAATTTCCCTCCCCCACCCCCGAACCCCCAACGCTTCTTCCCGGAGACTTCTCAACTTCAACCAAAACACATACGACGATTATTCTGGGGTGGGTTCAGGGGTGGTGGAAGTAGTGTTGTTGAGTTCAAGGAATCAGGATGAAGACGATTGTGCGAATGCGAGAGAAATTGTGGGATCTGGTGGTACTGATGTTGTGGAGGATTCGTCGAATCATTGCTTGAGATGTCAATGAGCTTAACCCCATGATTTTTTAGTTTTATGGGTTCTCTATTTGTTGTATGTCAATGACCACAACCACCACGAAACCACCATTCAACCACAACAATAACAACAACAGCCACCTCTGCCATTCAACCACAACCACAACGAAATCACAACCACCTCCGCCATTCAACCACAACCACCACGAAACCACCATTCAACAGCCCTGCAAAAACCGCACAGCCCGCAACATATTATTGCAGCCCCGCAATCACCAATTCGCCACCCGCAATCACAAATTTAACCACCTGTAATCACCAATTCAACCACCATGAAACCAAATCAACACGCAGCAGTCCTGTATCAACCTACAACCGTCGAACTTCCTGCAACCCAGGAACATTAAATCATTAATTTGACTTCACCAATCAACAATTTGGGGACGGGGGTTCGGGGCGCCGGCAACGGTGGGAGGCGGGGGACCAGCTGACCAGGGCTGGGCTTTTAGATGGGGGTTTAGGAGGAAGAAGGAGGAGAGAATAGGAGTAGGAAAAAAAAAACTAATAATAATCATTTAAAAATTAAAAAAAACAAATTAATTTCTAACGAATAAGATAATGACACATGTTCTATATATCTTGTTAAATAGGTCACTAACCGGTTATAACTTATTATTAGCGAATAACCCCCAAATGTGGTATTATTTAGAGATAATCAAAAGGCCGACTTGTTTTTAGCGGATGGGTGAAAGGTGGTATTATTTAATGCAATTTTTCCTAAAAAAATATGAACATATGCATTTCAGAAAGTAAACATAAACATTCAAAATATGAACACAATCATAAATAGACAAAACAGACAAACTGAGAACATTTTATGAACATTAAGAATATTTATCATATGAACAACAAATAATAATATTATTAACATTTCAAAACATTTTATGAACATAAGGTATCTGTTTGATTTCACTAAATTTTTTAACAATTCCAATAAAAATTTCGAACAATAGAGTATCGAATAATATTCAAACAAAATTAAGTGAAATTTATATAAAATTACCTTTTTTGGGAGAATCCGTTTGATTTTCATCTCATCTCAAACATTCATGGTTGTTTTGGAGGAGAGAGTAAATTGTGTTTTGATTGTAAGAGAGAGAAAATCAAAGAGAGGAGTAAGAAATTTCAGAAATTTAAGTTTGAGAGTGACGATTTTTTTAAAAAAATTATATTTTAAAAAAAAATAGTTGTTAGAAGTGACGGTTTTGTATAAACGACAATTGGGGGCTGTATTTTAAAGATATGTTACAAGCTGGTGTTGCAGCTAGAATAGCTACACAAGGATGCAGCTTAGACCAATTGTCGACACAACATGGCACGAAACTCATGGGTCAGGCCTAACTAACCCCAAAGCACATGGGCTTGGCACGAGGCATGACCTAGAGCTATCTTTAGGCACTACCTTATCCTTATATAAAATTCTGCGGAGTATCAACTAAACTAGCTAACATTAATTCATCAAACTAGAATATCCATATAATATAAAGTGTACGCATATTAAATATGCACACTTTCAGACTAAGTAGTTACAAAATATCCAGTAAAAACCAAAACATCTTAAACAATCAATCCAACGATGCATGGAACTTTTAACCTTTTCCACTCATCACTGTCCCAAGCAGGCGCCCAAAGATCCTCTAAATTAGGCAGACATTTTTCAACAGTTACCACTTTTTAATTAATGTTTTTAAAATCCATGCTACAAGAATCCAGTATTTTTGTTCAGCGGAATTTTAGGCCTATATAGTCAAGATGCCATCATTGACCACCACTAATTTTGCTACAGTACAATATTTAGTCTTAAGTTGGACCATTAATTTGCCAAGAAAAGTATGTTTTTTCTCCTGTATTACCCATCAACAGCTAGATTTCATTACCATTTTCAGATAATTGGCATTTGCACAATACTATTGGTTCAAATTCGTGTTTGTATGAACCCGTTATGAATCCGTCCCCTGGTCCTCAACTAGTACTTTGGCGGAACTTAATTTGCAATACAGATTAATCACTTTCACAATAATCAATTCTTACACAATTTACTTGACATTCAAACAATTGCTCAATCTCACATTTATGAATGAAATGAGGAAATCATCAATCCAAAAAAAAAAAAAAAAGGAAAAGATAAAAGTAACAAAATTGTCAGTGATTTCCAGATTTTACCTATATATCTGTATAATACAATCTACCTATTAATTTGGGTTAGTTTGAATCACCAAAAAAAAAATTGAAAACAAAGAAATTAAATTTAAAATATTTAAAAAAAAAAATAAAAAAAAGGGAAGAAATTAATTATCTGCAAATTTACTTCAACTCTTCCAAGCATAAACCAGCAATGAAAAACCAGTGGGCCCCTTCAATTCATTCTCCTCAACACTCTCCCACTCCAAAACAGAGCTACTTCCAGATGAAACAGAGGAGAGAGAAGATGAAGATGAACTCCTTGTTTTTACCAGTAATTTCTTCTTCATCCTCTTCCTTTCGTAATTCAACCCACATGAATCTTGTGACCAAATTACCCCTTTGTTACTTCCACTATAACTTTCTCTCTCCTCCAATTTACCACCACCGCCGCCATTGATGGACTGCTTCAGAGCTTCATCTTCTCCATTATTTTTCTCAAATCTGAAGGTAAACAGAGCATACCCATCATCGTGGGTCCCACAATCTTCCTCAAATAACCAGTTGTAAACATCCCATGAGAGCTGAATCGGGTGCCCGTCTACTTCGACCCGTTCACTTCCCCTAAATTTCCACCTCAAATGCTTCACTTGTAAAACCCGTTTCGAGTCGAATCGGATCACTAATCTCGGATCTTCTTCATTATTAGTGTTTAATTCAATCAAAATATTCCTCAATTTCCCGCCTAATTCAGTGGTTGTATTATAAAATCGATTCCCAAAAACATGCTCCCTTCGAATCACCAACGATGGCGGCGGCTTTCCGCCATTGTTGACCAAACTCCCAACCTTCTTAGCCTTCGTTTTCGCGAAAGCTTCCTTCTCCAAATCCCCAATTAACAACACAACCTCCCCTTCGAAAACAACCGCAATGTAGAACCCAGAAACGGGCTCGGGCCCGGGCCCAAACTTGGCCCCAGTAAGATCCCAGAAAATATAGATAGAGGAGAGAGATTGCGGAGGAGGGGGAAGCTTTTTGACCCCGTTTTTATTCCAAAAAAGGAAAGGTTTGAGAGTAAGGTGGAAGGAAGGGGAGGAGATAGAAAGCGGAGGAGGAGAGGAGAGATAATGAGGAGGATGGAGATGAAGATGGAAGGATCTAGAAAGAAGAGAGCGAGACCAAGTGAGAGAGAAGATACCGAGGTGGGTTTGGTAGAGGCAGGTCGTCAAGTTCGGCGTAGAGGTGGTTGTTGCGGCGGAGGACGGCGGCGCGTGAAGGTACTCGAGGGAAGGAGCGGTGGAGGAAGGGCGGAAACAGAGGGGAATAGGGGTGGAGTTAAAACGGGTCATCTTTTTGGATTGGGTGGGTTTAGGAATTGGGTTTGGGAGAATTTTGTTCTTCATGGTTTTTAAATTAAGTTTAAGTGAGAAGGGGGGTTGGTTATATTTGAGGAGAGAGAGAGAGAGAAAGAGAGGGGTTTATATGGCGTGATGAACGAGGAAGAGTGATGGGGTGAGGGTGTGGGTGTGGTGGGGTTAGTAGTTTACAAGGAATGATCAACAATGGAGGATAGGAAAGAGGGAGAGTGCCCTATTCTTTGTGAATTGGGGTTGGAATTCTCCCGTAACGCGTTATATCTTAGTATATTCGTATATTACAGATTTGTGGTCATGTAAATACTCCGTTGTAAAATAACTGTAACATTTGACTTTTTAAGGAACTTACGCATAATTTTAACCAATAGGAGTAATGGTTTTGATTAGGTGTTGTGAATTTAAAAGTGTTACATTAAGATATTCAAACTTTATAAGTTTTTAAACTCGAAAGACAGATGTGACTACGTAATACTAATTTGAGATATAATGAATGAGTGAATTAGTAAAATTGCATAGTGTTGGTGTTTATTTGATTTTTTAATTAACTCGTAATTGAATCGTTGTTTTTGAATTTTGCTGAAAGGAAGGGTAATAATATTGCATAGTAATATCTACAAGGGAGCAACAATCAAAATTATTGATAAGTTTCCAGATTTAAGGAAAAATATATCAAATCTTAAAAAAAAATTCAATGTTTGATTTGCCAAATCAATATCTTTAAAGGATAAATAAATCAAAATCTTGATAAGATACAATCTTATAAATACATTACAAATTCGAAAAATTATCTATACAAAAAAAATAAAACAGAGAAAGTTTCTACTATTAAATTTCTAATTTATTTCTCTCATAAACAATTCATTTCAGCTCTATTCAGTTCAGTTCAGCCTCGGTCAATTCAGTTCACTTCACTTCAGTTGTTTTTAATAAATCGGAACAGGCCCTAAGTTGAAAGGAGACATTATTTTTCGTTGTACAATAGCTTGCATTGAGACAACCAATTAAATTTGAAAATTAATTCGAATGATTGAAGATTTGAAGGTGTATTTTTTTAATTTTTTTTAATGCGAACGAGGGGCTAGGCCCCGAAGAAAAAACAAATAAAAAAGGAAACTAAGGTGGGACTAAATGTGGCATGGCCACTCCAACAACATCATCGTACAAAATTCGACCCAACGGCTATGGGGGGACTTGAATCAACTCGATCTTGGTATTCTGAGTAACACCTTGATTTGCTAGCCAGTCTACAACCCTATTAGCTTCCCGATGAATATGTTGCACTTCCACTTCCCACTTTGCATCCTCTATCATCTCTTTGCATCTGTTTACTATATGGACACTTTCCCCTCTATAGTTGCTATCGCTATTCACAGCTCTTACCAAAGCCTAATTGTCTATTTGCACCTGTATCTTTAGAGGGTTGAGTCTTGTAGCTAATTCCAGGCCGTAATGAACAGCACGAGCTTCGGCCATGAAAGCATTACATGCCCCAAACTTGAAGGTGTATTATACTCGTGCATGAATTATATAACAAGGTTTATTCACAAATTAATTTGCAATCACGAATGTACATACGTAGCTCCTCAAGCATACAAATTTGAAAATCACTTTCCTCTTTTTTAATAGGAGACAACTCACATTAGTCGAATAGTCACATATACACATTGTATAAGAAATAGCTTTTACGCAATATTAAAATTTGTTCTATTTGTATGTGAATATGTGATACATATTATACCTTGTAGACTTGTAATCCCATTAACTTGAGGTAAGTGAGCCAAAAAAATAAGTTTTTTGTTTTTTTATTTTTATTTATTTTTTTAAAGACAAAAAATAAGTTAAGGTAAATAAGAAGAGAAAAGATTAGATATATTAAGTTAAGGTAAGTGAACCGATAAAAGTTTCACATAGCCAATTAAATTCCTCTCCTTAACTAGTTATAAGTTGCACTCAATTTTAGCACCAGAATTTAGAGTTGGTAGCCCCAAAAATTTATGGCAAAATAATTTAGAGTACGTAACTAATTGCTTTCAATTGTGCTTTGCATTTTGAGAACTACTCCATAGATCAATAAACAGAATAATTAACAATAATCACCCAAATTAGGTAAAATTTGGTAGAGCAACATAATTATCGAACTTCCTTTGGTGATTTCTTCATAGATTGAGCCAAATTGATGTGGAATATAAATAGTTGAGACGTCAATTCTTTTTCTAAGTTTGTTGCATGTTTAATTTATATGATTAACATAGTACTATTTTGTTGTTATTTGCTTGCTACATCTTAATTAACCGTGTATTAGGATTAAATTATAAAACAGGCATACAATTTTATCTATTTCTGGTGCAAAGGCATACAATTATTTAATTGGTGACAATACAACATGATCTGGATTTCAATCGTATTTTTGCGATTAAGCCAAAACTAATTTGTTTTGTTTTGATCTTAATAATAACGTAATTTGGGTTGTGACAACGTAGATGTATAGCTGGAATAATGTCAGAGGATTATCTTGGCCTTCTATCCTTTAATAATAGTGGGATGTGTAAGTATTGTACTGTTCAATTTCTAAATATGTTATGTTCTTTGACTTCTTTCCAGCTCATTTATAATGAATATTGTTTTTTTTTTTAGAAAGTATATTTATACTGAATACGAGTATATATTACGGAGTAATGATTAAAGTTATCCTATAATTTGGCGAATATGTTGGTCAAAGTGATGCATTGAAAAAGCACAGAGTTATACTTTTCTGCTTAGTAAAATCGAGTGTGAGAAACAAATTTTTAGTAGTGAGAAAATAGAAGGAAATAAAAATTAGTGGACCCTTTAGATACTAGCAAACTGATCTAAGATGGAGAAAGAATCAACCAAATATATCCAGACAAATTGGTTGCTTTTCTTAACTCCTTACTTAATTGAGAATGAAAAAGTAACGTAATACAAATACAGAGTAGATATTTTTACGAGATAGAACTCTAACCTATTTGAATACTACGTACATAATTATGCACAATGTGCGATAGTAAACCATCAGAGTACTTAAACAATAAGTACCTAAACAATTACTGAATTTGTAGTTTAAAATACCAAAAACTCTTATAATATACTATAACAATGGATTTAGCCGACATGTATGCCTTTTATTGACATTAATCAACTTACAATTTGAAAACCTTACCTAGTTTTAATTGTGCTAGCAAAGTTAATTTTGACTTATATATCTAAATTTTGACCTTAATTAATTAGAAAATGAACACGATGCATAAATTGCGTGCATTAGAATATTACGCTTTTCTCAATTCATCGTATATACCCTGCATTTTTTTGCAAAATAAAAGTCAAAATTTGCAGATTGCAACATTTACAAAGCTAAGAAAAAAAAAACCCTGCAAAACAATAAAAGCAAATTAAGTGGAAATATCACCCACCGGCCTTGGCAAATGGGGTACAATTGCAATCTGCCGATTTTTTGATTCAGTAAAGCAGATAGGTAGATCATCCACGATTATGAAACAACAGAGAACGAATGATGTTGATGCATGGAATAGTTTTTTCACTGTTTATGGTATGGTACCATCATTTTTATTTGTCGTACCACTTAAGTTGCACTGAAATAAATAAGCTAAGGTTACACATATGTACTCCGTAATTCTGAAAACTAGATTATATTCGTGTTAACAGTAAATATATGCAATATATCTATCTAATTTTGGGTGCATATATACACTTAAATTTTAATTTTGTAATCTTATCTGATCTTATTTCATCTTTTAGTTGTAAATTGAACAAGTACTTTTATAAAATGTTTTAAGTTTTATAGAGTACTTAAATTTTCAATATAATTACTAGTATATAGAATATTAAAACTGAAAAAAAGAGGGGGGGGGGGGCTTACAATGTTAAATTAATTTCCAAATTATGTTGTATGTTTGTATAACTAATCAAGTTGTACGAAGTCTTTGGCGATGATCATTAACCTTTGACATGTCATTTTCAGTGTTTAATGACAATGCGTACCATATTTGGACTTGTGTTGATGTTCAATATGTGTTGGCTCTTGGAGTCTTGGTTAGTATGAAACTATGAGAGTAATGGAACACACACATAAGTACATCACTAAAAAATATGATTGTACTAAGATGTTATAACTAGAATATAAAACGTGAGTTTTAAGGGGTCAATCATAAACACTGTTTTTTTTAGTTGACATATTTTGACTTTAGCACTATTCACTCACTCCTCTTTGACTGTGTTTTGTGCTTTATACGTAATGAAAAATATAGCCGTGTGGGATCTTGTTAGATTCGTCACGATTAATATTTTCAGAATATCAACTTTTTATAATTTTTGTTTATCGGTAATTAAAGATATTAATGATTGAAGTTTTGCATTAGTAAACGTGACTAAAGAAACGTGTCAACTAAAAAGAAACGGAGGAAGTATATTTGATTAAAAAGATTCAACAAAAGTTGAACAAAATGCAACTCAGGTTGTTCTTAGAAAATTGAAAGAAAAAAAAAAAAAAAACTAACTACCTTATGCAAAAATGAGTTTCTAGCACCTCGAACTTCATTAAACAAACATGTCACAAAAAAATAAAAAAAGACAAAAAAAAAAAAAAAAAAAAAAAAATTATGAAAGCATGTTGTATTAACATATTGTGCATAACAACCAAACACTTTTTTTTTTTTTTTTTAATTAAATAGAGGCACCTCATAACAACCATGTCTGCCTTTATCAAAGAAAGAAGGCAAATTGGCGGATGCATACCCTGATAAAAATGACAACTTATATTAGTGGGACTAATAGAAAATAGTCATATGATACAATTGCATTAAAGAAGACATTATTCAAACATAAATTAAAACACTAATTAAAGCATGACAAATTGAGCATATTATTTTAGATGAGACAACTTTGGCTATAGAATATAAATAAATAATTAAATATATGAATATTAGCTCACACCAGTTGTATTTTATCATATAATAAATGAAAATATTTAATGATCTCAGCAATTGCATGATACATATAAATTGCAAAAAATAACATCCTCTCCAGACCACATACGGCACGTGGTACTTATCCATTTTCAGCTTCATATAGCCAATTTAATCGAGGGAAAAATCAACTTTGACCATGTCTTATTTGACCCATAATTAGTTATCTTTGACATTCAACTTCATCAGAAAAATTATGACCACTAATAGTAACCTTTTTAGAGTACGTGCATGATTAGAAGTTGTTATTAGAGTTTTAATGGAACACTAATTAGCTTAACTTTGTTTAAATGTTAAGCATGTTGACAG